AGTTCTCATTGGCCAGTCAGAGACGTCATGTCTTACAGGCGCCTGGACTCAAGTGACTCATCTACGTTCGCTATTGATCTAGTGGGCGAGACACTAGTTCCTTTAGAGATCAGTTTGGCCCTGGTTTTCACTAAAGCATATTTAAGTCCATATGCTAGGTTGCATTCAATCGCTAGCGCGATTGTAGCGATCGAGAAGCTCCTTCACGGCTATAAGCTCAGCTTGACCGTACTCCCATAAGTGATGATCTGACGAACGTCGAGCCACGATTTCCTCGAGACGCATCCTTGCAAATGTGTTGAGGCTTTTCAGCGTATCGGTTGACATGGAATTCGCGGAGGCTGATGATTCTTCTTCGTAGTCCGTCTTTTTCTCAAGCAGGAGTGATGTTGCCTGTCAAGGTATGTGTCAAAACCAAGATAAATTCTGGGGAGAAAGAGATTGAGGGGTACTTACGACAAATAGACCATAAAGGCCTCTCAAGTATTCGGCACAGAGTTCGATACTTCGACAGAAATACCGAATGCATCGGCGTAAAAGATGACAAGCTTTTCCTACGTCAGTCGAACTGGCGCAGGAATACAAGACTTCTCCTAGCCGGCAATGTACCTGCGACACGAGAGTCAGCTTTCTGCGAGTGTACACTATCGACAGTAAAAATCATACATTCCAAGCGTTCGGGACAATCAACAGTGCCTCCTCGAGGCTGAAAACTGCCTGTGAACTCAACCCTTGAGATTGATACAAATCTGCGAGTTCACACCACGCCTCCGAATCTGTTGGAACAGCATCCAGAAGTCTTATCAAGCCCGTAATGGCCTCCACTGGTCTAGACAGCGACCGCAGAAGGGCAACTCGGCGTTTTAAAATCGGCTACTAGGTATATCAGCTTCGGATTGTGCCATGAACATATAGGAAGGCACAGACTAGGTTAACTGGGTCACTCGACAGTATAGCGTTGTATTTGTGCAGACACTCCTCCAAAGCTGCGCGATCTTCTGCAGTAGCTTCTTCGTGCAAGCCTCGTAATGCTGTCACCTTTTCATTCGAAGAACCGAATCGGCTCGCTAGTCTATCAATGCACAGGAGAGCAGATCTATCATCCCCTGATTGTAAGCATGCAAAGGCAAGTTGCTCCAACAAGTCATATGACTCATGATACTGGGGTTTCAGAAATGGTGCAACTAGAAAACCATCACCACTTGGAGAGTGCTGTTCAAGAATTCGAGGGGCTTGTTGTGAAAGGCGAGAGATAGTGATCAGATTCGAACTATGTTCATACTGCAATTCAGGGGTATCATGCGCCATGATGGGTGTGTCGCTGTGTGGAATCAATGAAGAAGACTAGATGATATCAAAATTGTATTGGTGTGAGCAGGAGACAATCAGAAATTCGAGAATAATGTAGATAGAAGGTAAAAAGGAAGAGCAAGGATAGACGTTATTATGCGGAGCTACTCCGCACCGGGGATAGTAGAGTTCTGTTCCCGTGACTTTGACGGAGCAGCTCGACGTAATCGCTCATGAACGGTAAAGATTATGCGTCAACGTGCAACATATACTAGGCTGTTCTCAACCAGAGAATTGCGCTTGAAATCACAGCTCATGATAGCGCAGAAGAGTATCAACTTGGTTGCGCTTATTTCCACCAAATGCTGTACACCGTCGAAGCATAATGTCGGTACCCTGCCCCAGGTTGAGAACATAAACAAATAACACTCAGCGCATCAAGGTTCGAAAAGTCGCTATATGACCTAATAAAGGGCCTCAGGAGCCACAAAGGAGACGAGGATGGATATATACAGGAGTCTCTTCGAGAATGCAAGGCCGAGATCAAATTGCAGGATATGGGTACGCACAGCATATATATTTGCGCGACCATGCTTTTAACATATCCTAGATAAGAAGGCAACGGCTCTCTTGAAACTGATATACTTGGAGATGTTCGGCTATGACATGTCCTGGGCATCTTTTCATGTGCTCGAAGTAATGTCATCTGCAAAATATTTACAAAAAAGAGCTGGATATCTCGGTGCCGTGCAGAGTTTCAGACCGGACACAGAAGTACTAATGCTGGCAACGAATCTCTTAAAGAAAGTATGTGCGCTGTTGAGTACCATAGTCCTTATATACATCTAACTCTTGCTTAGGATTTAGTCTCATCAAGCATTCCGAATATGTCCCTTCCGCTAATCACATTGCCCAGCATCATCACTACCTCCCTTGCCATGTCATTGCTACCAGATGTTCTGTCTCGGATATCTCACACTCATGCTGTGGTCCGGAAAAAAGCTATTGTGTGCCTCTATAGGCTGGCTCTTGTATACCCTGATGCTTTGAAACTAGCTTGGCCCAAAATCAAGGAACGCCTCATGGACGATGCAGAGGACTCTAGCGTCACTACAGCTGTTCTAAACGTGGTATGTGAACTTGGATGGCGACGATCTCGTGACTTTCTACCTCTTGCGCCAAGGTTATTCGAATTGCTTGTCGACGGTGGCAATAATTGGATGGCTATCAAGATAATAAAGCTTGTACGTTGTCTGGGTCATCAAGATGAAGGACCCTTCAGTATCATTACTCATTAGTATTCTGACAGTCCTAGTTTGCCACACTTACTCCTCTGGAGCCACGATTAGTCCGGAAGCTGCTTCGGCCTTTGGTGAACATAATCCAAACAACAACCGCCATGTCTTTACTCTACGAATGTATCAATGGCCTGATACAAGGCGGCATACTCGATAGCGATCAAGGTGCTCAAGAGAAAGACGAAATCGCCGATTTATGTGTGGAAAAACTTCGGGGCATGGTCGTCTCGGATTCGGATCCGAATCGTAGGTGCCTCTGCCATACGATGTGAGATAGAAGCTGACATGGCGTATGTTTAGTCAAATATGTGGCACTCCTAGCCTTCAACAGAATTGTATCGGCATATCCCGCGCTGGTTTCAATGCACCAGGATGTGATTATGTATTGCTTGGACGATGCGGACATCTCGATTCGACTTCAAGCTCTTGATCTTGCAACCAGGATGGTCACTAGCGACAACCTTCAGGCGATAGTAGAGCGGTTGATCTTGCAGCTGGTCAACTCACGTGAGTTTACCGGGAATGACCGCCTCGGGATTGATGATGAACTTTCTGAAGGAGACGGCCGCGAGATGAGACGTGATTCAGCTAACCGCAAAACAACAATACCTTTACCGCTTGATTACCAACTTGAGGTGCTACATCGGATAGTCGACATATGCTCCTACGGAAATTATGCGAATTTGTCTGATTTTGACTGGTATGTCGGCGCCTTGGTGCGGTTAGTGCAACTTCTTCCCTCAGACGTTGAAGATGTTGGGCTTCCTCATGATATTCGTACGGGTAACGATGCGGATCACCAGTCACATATCACTGGTCGAATTGGTTCTGAGCTACGCAATGTGGCCGTTCGGGTCAAGGACGCCCGCGCGGAAGCAACTAGGGCTGCAGCCTCTTTGCTTTCTCTTGCAAATCGGAAATCCCTTTCCCTCAAGGCCCCAGGCGCAAGCAACGGCATCCTCGGGCCGCTCGCGTGGATGGTTGGCGAATATGCCGAGCACTTGCTTTCTCCTGGTCAAACCCTTTTTTCCTTGATTGACATGTCCAATTTCTCCTTGCCAGGGAGGATGTTATCCCTCTATGTGCAAGCCATTCCCAAGTTGCTCAATACATTTCTGCCTGATGAGGGAACATGGGATCGAACAAAGAGGAGCGAAATGTCTTTAATGTTGGCGCGGGTCATTGAGTTCCTCAACTCTCTCAGTTTGCATCCTGACCTGGAAGTACAAGAACGAGCTATCGAATTCCTCGAAGTCATGCGCTTGGCAGCAGATGCTGTACATTCCGACTCGCACAACTGGAATGAAGTACCGTTTCTCTTGTCTACGGTCATTCCAAACCTATTCAAAGGACTCGAATTGAATCCCGTCTCTGTGAACGCTCAGAAGAAAGTCACGACACCAGAGCTGCTTCATTTACACCAAACATTCAATGATAGCCTTTGCAATCTCTTCGATAGCGATCTTGGAACTTCATGCGGAGCAGATCATGAAGTGCCCAGCCACAAGTTCTACTATTGTAGGGACGGCATGTCATCCGACAAGCAACTTGGTGACTTCGTCGCGGTTGACGCAGCTCATGGGACACAGTACCAGAAACCAGTGAGTATCATGGTGGAAGAATCGTCCACCTACGCTAGAAGGCTGGATGGCAAGGAAAGAAGTAGGGATGATCCTTTTTATATTGGGACGGATGATGGATATTACGACATCTTGAGCCCACACCATCCTTCTTTCACCGCCTCTAATGAAAGCGAATTGGATGTTGATGCGATTCCAATAATCGATCTCCAGTTGCACGCCGGAAGGGGACATCGGCCGCCGTCTATCGCTCAGTCTGACGACCGGAAAAAGATAAGATCACGTCCCAAGCGATATAATGTACTGCCCGATGAGATGCTAGGTGACGACGAGGCCGGGGCAGCCAATAGGACGGGTGAAGCTAGCAAATGGAAACGGTCTTTACTTCAGATCGATTCCAGTGGACTGGAACACCCCCAACTCAGCGAGAACAGGCCATTCTCGGATAATCAATCAATCGTGCGGAGGGTCGAAGATGAGGCGGAAATGGTTTTGGCAATGCGAGAAGTGGAACAATTTCGTCTCAGATTACAAAGAGCCACAGAGCGAGTGCAGCCAATGGGTATTCCTTCGGAGGGAACATTGGTCAAGAAAAAGAAGAAGAAGACGAAATCTGTGGTCAATGATATGCAGGGAACTGGATGGCCTGATGATGAAACAGGTTTAATGAAGGGCAGCAATGACCGACAACAGCAGAAGAAGAAGAAGAAGAAGAAGCGGCCCAAGAACTGATTCGGACCCCAGTAGCTAGATGTCTTAGTAGGTACTACCTCACTTGGCTGTATGGTGTATGGCCTGGGTCAAACAGGATTGAATCTGACTTGCTAGACAGTGCAGCAGGATAATGGTAACATAAATGCATTCGAAGCATTAAGCAAGAAGTTGAGGGTCGGAGGCCCCTAAGATAATCGCTTCGACAGTGGCCATCGATTTGTCGTGGATAATAATAACATGCGATATTGCAACGTAGCAAGCTGTGTTTATACCTACTGCAGCAACTGACTAAAGTTCGTAACAAGAGCGGACCATAACCGAGGCACAATCCCCAGTAATTCAAGAAATATTCCACCACAAACAACGAACGCAAGGATGACTGTCAACTTTTCTTAGCCCTACCAGATGATCATTGGCATGGCGGTTAATGGGAACATACCAATCCAGCCAGTAGATACTGGAGACCGTGAGTTCTGCTTTGGCTTCGCCATCACCCCTCCTTTGCCACGCTTTGCGGCTTCATGCTTTGCATACCTCTCATTGGCCTTTCTCTGCTGTGGTGTTTGAGCCTGCAATTTGAGATCAGTATCCAAGACCATATGTATGCCAATTTGACACCACACTGCATAGATCTATAGCATACCATGGTGCCACTGAATACGGTTGATTTGGGCTAACTTTGGCCTTTATGTCTGGGTCACTAAAGAATGTTTCAGATGGACAGAGGGCTTGTTATGTTTATAATAAGAGAAAAGAGGGCATTTAGAGCAAATTGAAGGAGGCAAGCAGATGAATCACAATCTAGTATACAGAAGAGGCCACGTTGTGCTAAGTATATTCCGGGAGGCCTCTAAGCACGGAAAAGAGTTGAATCCAACAACCTCCTGAGCACAGCTTATCGCACCCTTGTGCTTTCGCTACCGCCTCCCCGATCGGGAATCTGAGGAACACTTCCAGTTATCGTGTCGCGCTTTGCCCTTATCAGGCAGGCGCCAGCTGGAGCCTCTGAGCCTAGTGACCAGCAGTATTTGTACCATGGGATATGGTGGGGGGAAGCTGCCTAAGTCAGTAGGCGGTCAACACTCTTTCCAAGTCTTACATCTAATCTCCCTGAGATTTCGATTTTTTTCCTATCGTGTGCGGAGTATTACTTTTCAATCTCTCCATTTATCCCTGCAAACACCCGAGCACATTTTCCCTCCAAAAAGTTAATTCCCTCTCTTCTTTCTTTCTTTTTCTTGTGGTTTAGTTAGTACTTCTCTCAACAATCAACAGTGAACAAATACTTCAAGCAAAGAAAAAAGACCCCCCCCCTCCCCCAGGCCGAGCAACCATCTTGATCTAGCAAATGGGTCTTGCTGCACCCCGAAAGTAGGTAGGGTCTACTTTCTTCGTCTTACTTGATCTAATGTCCATTGCCTAGGAAATCCAAGATCTCACACGATCCTAACAATACAAATTGGTCGCGCTCAACAACTGGCTTCGGGCACAAGATTCTCAGTTCTCAGGGATGGACCCCGGGTAGCTTTCTGGGTGCACGAAATGCTGCACATGCTGAGTTATTCACCACAGCAAGCGCCTCTCATATCCGCGTTACTATCAAAGATGATACACTTGGCCTTGGTGCGCGACCGAGGCGGGACGTACTAGATGAATCCACTGGACTTGATGCGTTTAGAGGCTTGCTGGGACGCTTAAATGGCAAGTCAGATGCAGAACTGGGGATCGAGGAGAAGAGGCGTGAGAATGCAAAGTTGGCTCGATATGCGGCCAGCAGATGGCAGTCAGTTAACTTCATTAGTGGTGGATATCTGGTTCAGGAAAAGGCCGATGTCGGTGAATTTGAAGAGCCAGCTCAAATCCAGCCAGACACTGAGAAGCGCAGGACTAACAAGAGTGCTACTGATGGCCGGAAAGGACCTGAAAGTCCCGATTTTGTGGACCTCAAGGCATCTCCTATCAGTACTCAAGGTCAGGATAATGGCAGTTGTGGAAGACAACTCTCAGACAACCAGGCCTCCTGTAAGAAAAAGTCCAAGAAACGGAAGAACAAAGAAAGACAAGAAGATAGCGGTTTCGAACACACAAAGACAGAGACGTTGGATCAAAAAGACGAGTCCAATCGTGACTCACCTACAGAAATGCCTGCATCGACACTAAAGTCTCTGCCATCAAGGGAGCGCCGTCCGATGGGCAGGCATGTTTTCAGAAGCCGTCACATTGCGCAGAAGAAGAGAGCTCTTCTCGATGAGAAATCTCTGAATGAGGTAAGATTGTTGCCTCATCACATGGTCACTTATGCTTACTGGTTTAATCTCAGATATTTATGGTCAAGTCATAATCTGAATGACCCTGTCTCCTCTTGACTCATGTAGTGTAGAGGCTCGTCTAGAATTTCTCCTACTACTCAAATACCCAATCTGATTATATCTCTACGCGCCTGTTAACAACATGATCATGCGCTCGGCGTGATGCTGCAAGATCTGGTCTTCGATCGAGTTCCGCTACAACACATTTTCATAATGGTTGTCTGTTCCTATCATCATGATGCTACTGAGTGTAGCTTTAAAGGAGATTTTTGATTGGCAGTATATGTACTTCCATTGATGTAGCTTCGGATTGGCTAGAATTTTCTTTCAGCGCTTCCTGTGTGTTTGTTCCATTGATTGTAGTGATATTCACATGTGCCTAAGATCACGCAATCAAAGGTGCTGAAAACGACAGTGTTGCGTATATGTGGTACAGTACGTACCGTACTCCGCGCATACCTCGGCCCAGTTCACAGAGTGGGTGGACACTTACATCATTACCAGTGTGGGTTGACCCAACCGTCACCGGCCGTTATGATCTTACTGTCCATGCTTCATAACACATTCATTCCAGATTTGTATTGTCAAAGTTCGATCCCCGAACCGAGCTTATATGTCAGCTTATTCCTCAAAATTACAAGCACCAAGCTCAATTCGTGCTGTTAAGCCACCGATGTCTAATTCTGGGAGTTGTGCCCCTGTTGCGACTGGGAATGACAGCCTAGCACAGCAACGGCCATCATCTCTGCAGCGGTCGCCGATAACTATCACTCGTGATGACTTTTCCAGTGATGATAGTGGTTCTGACCATGCCCGAAGCATCAAAAGGGCTGGACATGAAAGGAGGTATGTAAATGTTTTCAGTAAAACTTCTTGGGTGTATTTGTTCTCGTCATTTGTATTAAAAGAAATCCTACTGACTGGAGAACCAGAATCCGTTGGGCACCATTGAATATCGGCCTTGAAAGACGCTTACAGACGTTTGTGGTTCTCTGCCATACCTTAACAATTGCTATCTTTTTGACGATGTTTTTTTTCTCATGTGCCATCCCGCTCTCATGGCCAGTCCTGATACCCTATCTGATCTACATCTCTCTCTTTTCGACAGCTGCAACATCAGGGAGCCTGGGCGGTCGCTGCAATTTTCTGCGCTCCCTCCGTGTCTGGAGATTGTATGCGTCTTACTTTCCAGCCCGCTTACATAGATCCGAACCTCTTCCACCAACGAGGAAATATATTTTCGGATATCATCCACATGGAATCATATCACACGGCGCCTTCGCAGCGTTTGCTACCGAGGCTCTTGGGTTCTCCAAGCTCTTTCCTGGAATCACAAACACCTTACTGACACTTGACTCGAACTTCCGAATCCCGTTCTACAGGGAGTACGCACTTGCTATGGGCATAGCCAGCGTCTCCCGCGAATCATGTGAAAATATCCTTACTAAAGGAGGAACTGATGGTGAAGGAATGGGTCGTGCCATCACAATTGTCATTGGTGGTGCCCGTGAATCACTGGATGCTCTTCCCCACACTTTGCGCCTTGTGCTCAAGCGCAGAAAAGGATTCATCAAGTTGGCCATACGTACAGGAGCTGATCTTGTGCCAATACTAGCATTTGGTGAGAATGACCTTTATGAGCAAGTGCGCTCTGAAGACCACCCTATCATACATAAGTTTCAGATGCTTGTTAAACGTGCGATGGGCTTCACAATTCCCCTATTTCATGCACGTGGTATCTTCAACTATGATGTTGGGTTGATGCCGTATCGACGGCCATTAAATATTGTGGTTGGTCGCCCTATCAGGGTAACACAGCAAAAGGACAGGGAGAAGGTAGACGATAAATACATCAATCTACTTCACACGATGTATGTGCAGGAATTAGAAAGGCTGTGGGAGCAGTGGAAAGATTTCTATGCTAAAGATAGAGCATCCGACATTGAGATTGTTGCATAAGGTCTTAAGGTGATAATTCTGGCAGTGTGGTAATAGCAGAGTGAATATATAATGAAATATTCAGGATATTTCAGCCAAGCCCAATGTACTGGTTTTTCTCATGATGGACACACCAACCCAGAATCTCAGTGACAAGAATTGACTACTTGGGTTCAAATCCCAAGTAAACACCTGCAGATTTGGGCTATCGCTTGTATAGCCTCTACATTTAGCCAACTGGCTCACTTAATGGTCGATAGCTTCTAGATGCCTTAGTTAAATCATGAAATTTTATATCTTCTCTGGACATCTTTATGTTCGAATTGATGATGATGGTGGTGGTGGTGATGATGATATAAATGGAATATAGCATGTACCAAAAGCCAGAATCGCTTCGAAAAGGGGACAAGAATGGGTATCTGGAAGTGATGGAGAACAGAAGAGTAATGAAGCGACTGGGCATAAAGCATGTGCGACATGAATGAGAGAAGAAGCACCCGACCTTGACGACATGTAGGCAAAGCTCCTATGATCGTATTGACATGGGGTAGCCTGGAAAGGGAAAATCGACCGCTAAAATCCAAAAGCCCGGTGCATGGCACTGAATAGTGTTTTTGGAACAACAAGAGCATAAACTAGGATTAATTCCTGGGGGCGGGGTCTGTAAGCTTAAGGCAACGCGTTGATCTCTTCGATCTATAAGCGGCGACTCGTCTTGTCAAATGGCGGGGCCTTTCACTGCGCGTCAAAAATCAATTGAGATTCGATGAAATCAAAAATTCGGTTGTACGAGGTGATCCGATCGAGGAGCTGTTGGGCCAATTCTGCTTTTAGAACAGCACTGATCCCCCAAGGGCCTTCAAGGCCAGTGCACTCTCTGTCATTGATAAATTGTTCGAGAAGCGTCTAGGTGCTCACCCTGGCGAGCAGAGTTCTCCGGTATTCGAAAATGATAGTGCGAAAATGTTAAGCTGGAGTGCTCTGGCTAGGGCGTAGTTAATCGGCCTTGCTCGTAGTCAAATTCGCTATTCCGGGTACCGACTCCGATGCTCGACGACTGCTGGTAACGACACGAACACTACCACGCGAGCCTTTGATCAATTGACCGCTTTCAACACGATCTTGAATCATCTCATCAAGGATTCGAGACATCTCGTCCATACTTTTCCGCTTCCCGTCGGGGGCGCCTTCGAACCACGGGGAGAAGTTGTTATCTGGAGTGTAGGCCAAGGCATAGTCACTGTCCACGAGACTGTGGCGGTGAGGCAAAGTTTCTTTTATTCCAGGCCCACAGGCATCGATGGCAATGTGCGCAAGATCCCGATGTCGAGCAGCAGAACGGAGCGCTGTGAGCATTCGATCTTTATCGTCCAATTGTTGACGAAGTTCATTTATTTCCATGTCTTTTTCCCGCAGCAAAGCCATTGCATCAGGTAAATCAGCATTTGGACTGCTAGACTTCATGCCTATTGATAAACGGGAATGACTCGAGCGGCGTGCTTGCAACAACCGCCTCTCCAACGTGGATATGTATCGATTTTTGTCATTGAGGTCAGCTTGAAGGGCCGCAATCTGTTGCTGGGTACTTGCCTTCCCATCTGCGAATTCGCCGATATTCTCTTCATCATCTTCATGAGGCAAAGAGCCCGCGAGTTGTGCACTGGCTGCGGGATCATAAGTATTGACCGAAATGAGAGACATCGGGCGATTTGACGGTTGTCCATAGGCGCTCAATGTAGACTGACTAACTGAAGACCGCAGAGACCTCGTCCCAGCATCGAAAGCGGATTGTCTGGAAAGCCTACCAAGGGAGGGAAATCCCCCGTGGTTGTTCACCCCAGTTGACTTAGAACATAATATAAGGCGATTCAGATGCTCTATACGCTCCTTTAGCGCTGTCCGAGCCAGCTGCATCTCTAACATTTGTTCTTCGTGACGAGCATGCGCTTCCTTTTCTAGCTGCTGTTCTTCAAGTTTGAGTTCTTTCTCAACCTGAGCTTTTGTCTGGCACTCGAGCTGATTACGGAGAGCCTGGATTTCCAAACGATAGCGTTCTAGAAGAACCCGACTTCCTGTGTCAGTGCCACCACTTCCCATTGCCTCCTCTGCTCTCTTAGCATGGCTGACAATGCTATTCTTGGCTCGAGCTGCAAATTTCAAGGTATTGAGGGTTTCACCAGCATGCGTTTTGGTAGGACTGCCTAGCTGAATCGTGCAGAGAATGCTGACCAAGGAGTTTCCTGACAAAGCCGGCTGCAGCAGTCTCGTGAGCTTGCTATCGCGATAAGGCAGATGCTTGCCTTCCTTGTCAGTTGCACCACTGGCTTTTTCCTTTGATTCCGAAAGTTTGGAGATAATCGTGCCCAAAGTCAGTAAGCTCTTGTTAATGTGGGCACCTTCTGTTCGTCGTTCTTTGTCATCAGCAGCACGCTCTGATCCAGCAAGATCGATAAGGCTGAGTGTGGACACCCTAACCCCACCAGGCAGCAGACCTGACCGCCTATCCTGGGATAAACCTGCAGGTGCTCGTTCCCGACTCTCAACAACGATCTGGACAACCGCATGGCTTCGTGAACTCCGAGCATTGAATTGGGTGCTGCCAGTCCTTCTCGCATGGTCTCCCCTTGCGATGACGCGAAGAAGTTGTGTCGGGCTCTGGACAATTTCTTCTTTTAATGGAGTCGCATATACACCTCTCTTGCTATCCTCACGTAACTTGATTTCTTCTTGTTGGGCAGTGGACGGCGCACCAGACACTGACGCTGAAAGCAAATCATTTATCCTCTCATTGTAGATTTCAAGGTAGCTCACCCGCAACAAAAACTCCCGGTGCGGTGTTTCTCTGATGAAGGAGAATATGTCTGTAATCGCCAGTGGAATCACTCCTGGGGAGGTTGCGGTTCCTTGCATAGAAAAGGTCTTGCCCGTTCCGGTCATGCCATAGGCAAATACTGTACCGTGATAGCCTTCCATTACTCTCCTCACGAGACGCTTTGCAGCAGCGTCGTACACCTTTGCATTGTTTTCGTTGGCTGAGAAAACATTATCTGGAGTAGGGATCAGCACACCATCACTCCGAGTCCGGGGTTTGCAAGATATGGATACCATATAGATAGTCACCACCTTCTTTCCCATTGAAGGAGATGATTGCTCGCCTCCCATCTACCGTCCATTCAGGTGTCTTTGTTGTTTCCATCTCCCCGCCATCAGGCCGTACTCGGACGCTCACGATCACATTTCCCTTTGTCGTATCCTTGTTCTCCTTTGACCTAACAATGGACTTGGAAATGCCGGCTGCATCATCACCATCCTCATATGTGGTTGCGCTTGTCGAATAAGATCCTTGTGCAGAAGAGCTTCTGCTTTGGGGAGGGGAAGCATCCATGTCCCGTATCTCACAACTCAGAGCCGATTTCAGGTCCCCGTTTCCGTGGATGAGGGATGTTGTCTTAGAGGTTCGGTAGCTACTGATCGTTCTAGTGCTGAGTCTGGAGCTTTTCCGTTCTTTGAGACTTCCGGAAGGTCGTAGGCCTTGTACTCCTGAGATCGAGGACGCAGTCGAAGGGCGACTTCCAGCTTTAGGTGGCTGAGGGAAGGCCGCGATACTGACTGATCTTCGCAATGATGTGTCGGGACTACTAGGAACCCGGGTGTTGATAAGGGACTTCGATGGACCGACATATGTTGTTGGACTATGAAGCACGGATCTGCTAGAACTTGACCTAGGACTGGAGGGAGCGCGCATCCTCGGGGAAGCTTGGGATGAGGAAAGAGTCCTTGGAGTATGCGGTAAAGTTGCTAGGCTCTTTCGTGACCTCGGAGCAGAAAGTTGAGGAGCCTGAGAGCTGGCGGTGGGTTGGGGTGGTTGAGGTAATTCAGACATGAGGACGTTTTGGAAGGCCGATCAACGATCGACATCAATCAAGCAAGACCCCTAGTCGATCGATTCTAATCTTCAAGCACGGCTTGAGCGACGGCGATTTGCAACAAGTATTACTTGTATCGTCCATGCACGTTGAAAAGACCCCTGGTACTCACACTCAAGGTGGTTCGGAAGCAGTGCCTGGGGAACAAGGCTTGATTAGAAAAATTGGAGACATAGGAGGATGATAGTGTCTGAAATTGTATAACATGGGGCTGAGACTGGACATGAGACACTGTGCTCGGGGACCATATGAATATATCTGATCCAAGATTACACCTAGATAATCTCGAGATATCTTCGAGGGCCATAACATCGCTCAGAAGAGGCAGGATATAAATGCAACTATGCGGACTTACATGGACCGTCGGCAGAGTGCGGCCGTGGATTACCGAGCGGTGCTCAAAAACACCTTTGCGCGCTCCGCGACTCGGCGGTATTGAACGTTGCCAGGAGCTTAACTGTTACCATGTGGCATTGGTAATTGGCATAAATTGAGACAGACCAGATGACTACTGTTGTATGAAGTGAACATGAATCGATCGGTATGTTGCCATCTAATAGTCGATGTAGGGAAAGAGAAGCATGAATGTGCAGATAAGGGGCGGAGGGACGGGAAATTATAGTGTGGACGGAGAAGAACTTGGGTTCGACTGTAGATCAGTCGGGATGTTTAATGAGCTCTAAGTGAGTTTTAGACCGCGCGCGCGGCGGGGGAGAGGGGTGGGCAGCAATGTGTAATGTATTTATCTAGTAATCTACTCATAATTCGGTATGAGTAACTACCTAGTAACTATTAACTACTCTGTACAGTGGTAATGGTAATGGCACTAATAATCATGGGTGCCCTTGAACGCCAGCGTTGGCGCAGAAAGGGTTGAACTCCACAAGGGTTCCATTGGCAGGGAGTGAGAAGGGCTTTCCTCCTTAGGCTCCTTCTTTGCTAAGCTCCTTAGCTTAGTCAACTTGACTTTGTTAGTTAACTAATTAAATAACTAACTAACTAACTAACCAATCTTGACTTGAGACCTAAGTCCTTTGCTCAGGGCAAACTAACATAAAAGTCAGCTGAGGTACCATAGATAGATACAACATGGTACAAAGTACAATAATGGGTGCACGGTGCGGTACAGGTACCTAAAGCCGACTTGATTATGGCCTTATGTTAAGTTGTTAACCAACTCCTGGGCCTTATACACGTACTATACCTGGCTGGTTATAAGGTATTAATGAGGTAGGAAGGAACGGCCTTGGACTCTCCACCTTTAATTTTGGGAAAGTAGAGAGTGGGTTAGGTGGAGTTGATCACCTTAACATAATCGGTAAGCAAGTGGGCACAGCAAGCAAGTAGGCACCTGTGTAATACATATAAAAAAGCTTATTTTTAACCTTCTACATATTAATATCTACTTGTTAAAATACCTAGATATTATGTATATATATACATAGAATATAATAGTATTAATTAATAACTAAGATTTTATTAGATTTAAATAACTATAAGCTATTATATACTAATAATTTGAAAATATTATAAGAATATAATATATTTCATATTATCTTTATAAATAAAGTGTTTAAAATACTAATTTTAATATATATATAAAATAACTATACACTAAACTATTTTGTTATTTGTATAAAATTATAAGTTTTGAAAATATATTTTATATATATAATATATTAAGTATTTATTTAGTTATTAAACCTATTTGCTTTTAAATTGAATTATAACTGTTTACTAAGCAATAACAAGCATCTAATATCTAATATAATTAGTAAGTAAATTAGTAGAATAAGTAAATTTATAGTTTTATTCTTTATATAAAAATATCTATTTTAGAAACTTATTATTCTATTAATCTATTTATAAATTATTTAAAAATAAAATATTATCAAAATATTG